CGGCGAGGACGCGGCCGACGCGATCGCTGGGGCAGCCGGGCCGGAGCTGCTCCGCAAGCTCGTGTTCGAGGGAATGACCGTGACGTCCTTCTGCATCGGCGCAGCCGTGAGACCACCCGCCCACCTCGCGTCGCACCAGCTGCTGCCGGTGGCCTACTACCTCGCGCTGCTCGTGCTCTTCCTCTTCGGGGTTGGGCTAATGGGGCTCGCTGTCTGGGTGTCCGGCGACCGCGTCGGCCGCGCCGCCGTGGCCAAGACCGTGATGTGGATCGCCGTGGCGCCGCTGCTGCTGGTGCTGTCCCTCGGCGGAATTGGGATGACATAGTGGGGTTCTGATGCAGGTAAAGTGCGTCCGGATGCTTTCACCACAAAACCAGTAAGACTTCTCCCCAGAAAACAAAAACAAAGGCCGGTTTGTTTCCGTTCCCAAAACATATTTTATTTTGATTCTCGGTTTTCGTTTTTAGAAACAGATCTTGAAAACAATGCCGGAAAGAAAGAACAAGAAAATACTTGGTAACTCTGTAGTTTCTTGAGATTAAGGTGGCAGAGAAGAAGAAAATGCTTCCACCCGAAGAACAAAACCGATGATTAATTTGTATCTGTCAGGGAACATAATTTTTAGTTTCCAAAAACAAATTGTGAATGATTGTGATTTTTTTTATATTTTATATTAATTTTTGGACTTAGTTTTCAAGGAACAGCTCTAGAAAATAAATGCTTCCTTCTTTTTTTCTTTGGCTTCTATAAATATTTCTTTTTATGAAACATAAATTCAAAAACAAAAATTTTCTTTGAGTGATCCTTTTTATAGCAAGGCTTGAGGAAAAAAAAAAAGAAGTACTTTGTCCTCTTTTAGAACACATTCTCCTAACCTTAGTTTAACCTTTTCTTTTTGTCAAAGAAAATCTAGTTTGGAAAGTTGTCTCTGTTTTTTTGTCCCTCTTGATTGATTTTTCGGTTCTCAAGAAATAGCTCTTGTAAAAAAATGCTTTCTCTTCTTTTGTAAACACCATTCTACCTCTCACTCTCCTCAAATTGCTTGGAATTCAGCTGCTGCTGCTGCATCATACCCTGCTTCCATGCATGCTCTGTTTATGACAGCTTTTGGTTTGGGGAACATAATATTCCGGCAGCATTGTTTGAATCTGATACTGTTATGAAGAGGAGCTTATCGTGATTTCATGTCTTGTGCAGACCTGCTGAAACATGGAAAATGGTGGCTACAGAGTCTTTCTTCTTCCTGGGTGTTGGATCAAGAGAGAACAAACAAAATAAGAATCGATGTTCCATCTCGGTTGATGGTTAGTGTATCGATACACAAGTGATCGATTTTTAGTGTCTGTTAAGAGGACTTGATGGGTAGCAACGAGTCTCAAGTTGGTTCGAGTCTTGTACGTGTCTAATGTAATAATGGATATTAATAATTATTAAAAAAAAAAGATTGATGTTCCAAAAGAATGAAAAGGGTTTTCATGTAGATTACGTTTGCGGCACATCCATTTGTATATATACCATTTTCTCCCAGAATGGCACACCAAATTAAGCAGCATAACAACAAAGGTTCAGGAAATTTCATGTATTTCATACTGGCATGGCGAAATGGATCGCATCGCCTTCGTTAATGTAATTTACAGAGATGAGATCTTATTCATGATATACAATTGAACAAGGAGGCATGGACAGTGATACCCCACATCCATGAGGAGAACTAGAATAGCATTCGGTTAAATAACCGTCGTTTGAAGCAAATGAGATCGACAAAACCTATCTTAAGAAACTACACATGAAACCACAGCTAGCTGCTCAAGCAACGGGCGGGCATTTATCCGCATCCTGCGACTACACATGAAACCACAGCTAGCTGCTCAAGCAACGGACGGGCATTTATCCGCATCCTGCGATGTATCGACGTCTGTGGGTGCCATGAATTGCCACATAGGGAAACCCATGATGGGGACCATGAGCTTGTGGCCAGCGGCCTGGCTTTGGGTTGGGAAGAGGCTTGGTGCTAAAGGTGGGTGAGGTAGATAGTTTGGTCGTGCATTCAAGAGTTTTACTTGCTGCTCCAGACTCTCCTTCTCTGCCTTTAGCTTCTGCTTCTCATCGCGAAGCTCATTCTTCTCAGCCTGCAAAGAGACGTAGGTCTTGATGAACACAAAGGTGATGAAGGACTTGGTGTGAAGATCTGTTGTTCCCCAGGTAAGCAAAAACATCTTGAAAGATGAACATGAACTTATATAAATGAGAAAAGCATTAAAATAGGATGAATTAACCCAGAGCAAAAATATATAGCCTAAAACAAGAAAATAACATCAAATGCAGTAGGTCTTTCAAGTCAAGCTGCCACATGTTGGTTTCCTTGTCGCCTTATAGAAAATTTTTTGGGTGATATAAAACTCTCTCACAGCCTAACATTTCTATTGAGAAGTCTTATAATTTGAAATAAAAAATAGAATATTACTGAAACTTCAATTATTTATATTTCGTAGATTGCTATTTTGCAAAGTATACTCTCCAATTTTGCTAATTTATGATTGATAAGAGAGGGTCTGACATGCAAACAATCCGACGGTATGTCACATCCTGACAAGCACCCTTTAGCTCGATATATTGGTTGAACGTTGCATTCACATCAGCATCGACTCGATATATTGCCCTCTCATCCCGATATGTTGCTCGAGGATCCCTAACAACGGCACGAGTCTTTCGAAGCAACGAAGAGATTTTTATCATTACATCCATATCCCTCTAATATCCAACACTAGACTTACTACAGGCTTAGATGCTTGATCCGAGATGGTTCTCAACACCTAACGTGTCAACAATGCTATACTTATATTAGAACTCCAAGAAGCTTTTAAATAATATTCTTTAACCATTTAAATTCGAATTTAGAAATAGCACAACATTTAGCTACTATCCTTATCAGGGAAATTTATAGTATTTAATTATCATTTCAAATTAAAAAAATACTAAAATTAAATAAAATAAAATAGAACTATAAAAGATTAAAGATTATTAAGCAAACAAATGATAAATTATCGATATTTCCAGATCATAAAGGAACAAACATGAAAAGAACTAGCAACAACACTCGTAGAGAATGTGCAACATGAAAAGAAATCTCACCTTCAATTCTTTTATCTTTTCCTGGAGGCTTTCATTTGAATCTTTTAGCTTTTGTGCCTCATCATGCAACCGAGAAACCAAACGAGCAGCACCACTTAAAATAGCTGCTTTTGTCAGTCATTGGTGGCTTCCCAGGATCAAGGAGAGAGCTCAGTTCCATGAACCTTTAATTGTGAAAATGTGAAAACTCTAAAGACATGTTGCTGGAGGTTGATAAGTCACAAGAATTAATCATGTACTGATGAATATATTTACCTATCATTTAACTTTTCCCTTCTCATCTTCTCCCTTCAGGCTTTTGAGGCAGGTCTACTGCAGGATTCTGATCTGACACTGCAACTCATAAATGTTTTGCAATTAAAAAAGGATTTATTTAAAGTACTATTATAAGAACCCCTAATCAAAAGGACTCAAACCGCTTTGCCGAGCCTAGTTGCTTGAGACTCAGAATTTACAAAAGAGCTATCAATATCCACACTAGCAAAAGAGATACATAAGTAAGCAATTGGATGCTTACAAAAACAATTACAAGATCAAAAGATATATCTAAATAAACAAGTCTTCAAGTGTGTCAAGATGACGCAAGATAAGAAACTGACAGAAAGCAGAACAAATGCAAGATTCAGTCAGAAATAACAGTCGGTACAGGACTCTGCCAAGTCATATACATGTGACCAAAAGTGCAAATGCCATTGGTACATGTAGTATCAAAATAAGGTCACTTGTCCTGGAACTTTTTGGATGATTTACTAATATTGAAATTCAAGATCAGATAATGTGCAACAACTTTTGGCTCCAAAGCATGCTGATGGAAGGACAAAATTAGCCTAAAGAATCTTTTATTAGTAAATTAAATTATTAAAAAATACATAGCATATCACCATGCTAAAACTGTGCAAGTGTCAGCAGAAGGTGAGCACTGCATAGTGCATCAGTGGAAGGCTCAGGGCCCCATCAGAATAAAAATGGCCGTGTTATGTCATCAATCTTTGTCTAAATGCAAACAGGACCTGAGAAAGCCAATCAAGACAATTATGGGTTTAGTTCCCCTGTCTGATACTTGGTGAACGTCACCGAACCCTCATCGAAATCAGAAGACATACCAGTCGCTTGTTCGAATAAGGAGGGGGCCTCAACCCTGGTTTGCAGTGGTTGGCTCTTCTACCACTGCTGCTATTCCTCTAATTTGAGTTGGGGAATGCCTAGGTTCACCTATGTGAGACAAATGCATCATAGCAGTTTGCCCTTATTTATTTCAATTGTAGTTTATGACTGGTAATGGACAAGAGTTAACAGTGAGCAGACTTGGCGAGTGGAAGCATAAATAGCAAAATTTTCTCCAATCAGGCTGATTTCTAAATTTGTAAGTCATAGAAGGCAGCAGGAAAGAATTTTAAACTATAATCTTTATCCAAGACCACTGATTGTCAAATGTATTGTCAATCAAAAGTACATTAAGAAAAAAGAATAAGCTGCAAATAGATCTGATATGCATTCAATTTGCTACTGCAAAAACATAATTTGCCTCACAATTCTATGTTCAGATGATGGAGGCAAACTTCAGATCCTAGCAAAGCAGCATATTATCCTACACAAGACAGAAAAATAGGCACCAAATGGACCAAATCATCAACCTTGTTACCAATCAATACAAATTATAACTAAAACACCAATCTACTTCCATAAACAATTGTAAATTATTCAAAAATATTCTTTCCTACATTAGTAATTCCTAACAAACAACTAAAATATGGTTCTCTCAGAAATGTTCACTCATCATTGCAGTACCAACCATAAGACCAAGCATCACCCGATCTAATCAACCAAAGACAATCGAGTTACAACCGAGATTCCAGTTCGAATTACCGGACAGTGGAAGAGGGATTGAAGCCCTGAGGGGACAAACAGAACCCTCCGCCATCGTTCGCCGCGAAATCACCCCCATCGTTGGGGATTTCGTCGATCAGGGAGCAATCCAAGAAGCAACTAGGGTTCTCGGAGGAGCCCATTCTCCGACATGTCGCCGGAGACCCACATTTCGACGGCTGGGAGACCGGGGGATGACTGATATCGACCTGCCGTAGTCTTGCGGATTAGGTAGCTCGGCTTTGAAGGCAATGGAATGCCGATGACGTGGCGAAATCCAATTGGATTTCCACGACGGTCATGGATTACATGATATAATATATATATATATATAATATATATAATTTTTAGACCTATTTGTTATTTTTTAGAAAAAATACATGATATAATATGCTAAATCTTAAATCTTTTAGCCAAATGATCTATTAATTATATGATTTTCTTTTTTTTACTTGATTTGTGATTCGAATCTGAAGTCATTACAATTGGATGGTTTTCTTAATTATATAAATCTTAATTTTGGAATATAACCTCATAACCTCATGTGAGGTTATTAAATATTTAATCCCGTGGACATAATTGACACTTTCAATTAGGGATAATATATGAACTAAATAGTTAATAATCTAAATTAGGAGGACCAATATGTAAATAACCTCATAATCGTTTCCCGTTTCTTCGTGTTACTTAATCAAAAAGATCCATCCGTCCATATGATGCACATCCGACGGATAGGATACACGATCCGTGTGCTACCTCTGGCGGCCAATCTCCATCTCCCTTCGGGCCTATAAATATGAAGCGAAGCCCGCCTCCAATCGACAACGTTATCGCTTGCCACGGCCGCGTTTCCTTTCCCACTGATTCCGAAACCCTAAAGACAGTAGTCGCCATGGCCGGGAGGGGGAAGGCGATCGGTTCTGCCGCGGCGAAGAAGTCCGTTTCTAGGAGCAGCAAGGCCGGGCTCCAGTTTCCCGTCGGTAGGATCGCCCGGTTCCTCAAGGCCGGCAAGTACGCCGAGCGCGTCGGCGCCGGTGCCCCTGTCTACCTCGCCGCCGTCCTCGAGTACCTCGCCGCTGAGGTGTGGATTTCCCCCCCTTTTTATCTTTTATTTTTTCTTCTACTTGATTCTGGTGTTTCTATTGATTCGTCGTTGAAATCTATGTTTTCTGTCGTTTCCACTAACTTTAGGGTTAATGTTCTTCGATCTGGTTTTGGTCTTGGTTTTACAGGGGTCCAATTTGATGTTCTGGAAATCTATTAGTATCTTTTCGTGAATTTTGGTAATTTGTGGATCTAGGTCGTGTTGCTTTGGGGTTATTTCACTGATTTCCTTCTTTTCGACTTTAATTTATTGGTTTTACTGTGGTGTTACTCCTCTCAAGATCTAAATATTATGCTGTTGGTGAATAGGTGTTGGAGCTTGCTGGGAATGCAGCCAGGGACAACAAGAAGACCAGGATTGTCCCCAGGCACATCCAACTTGCGGTGAGGAACGATGAAGAACTTTCCAAGCTATTGGGGGAGGTCACTATTGCCAGCGGTGGTGTGATGCCCAACATCCACAACCTTCTCCTCCCCAAGAAGGCGGGCTCTGGCTCTTCCAAGGCTGCCCCTGGAGAAGATGACTAAAAGCTGCTCTTTTTCTGACTCGCAGATTAGTGTGAGCTTGTAAACTTCTTCAAAGCTCTCTCTTTTAGAATT